GAAAGGAAAGAAGGGAATGTAATTAATATGAGAAAATGAAAAAATGGAAACAAAGTCTTTGTAAATACGGATGCAGGGGTTGAAGGGAGGGCAGGGGAATGGGGAAAAAAATAAGAACCATGAGAGATTATGTAAAGGTGCAAATTTCCAATGATGAATGTCATTATATTGTATACCTAAAATATACCAATAAAAGAAAATTTAAATAAATATTTGCACTACAGTAAAAAAAATCACTGCAAAGTGAATTTAAATTTACCCACACAAAAGCCTAAATATTAAAATTTAAGTAAATCTTTCTACCTTTTGAGAGTGACTGCAATCGCTTCTCAGCCTTTTGGCTGAGATCATGTGTAGAGTGACTGCAGATTTTATTAGTCTCTCATTATCTTATTATAAAATATTTTGTTCTTATTCTCTTTAAAATGCTATAGGAATATTTTTAAAATCAGAATACTTTGGGAAAATTACTGTTTTACAAAGTTGAAGCCAAAATAATTGCTTTAACATGCACAGCTTGAAAATTTCAGATCAAATAAAACGATTAAAAAATTAAGTTGAGAAAACTTGATTACAGTTTGTATTTGAAAGAAGTATCAGTGTTCTAATTAATTTTTGGTGCTTTATGCATGCAACTAAATTTTAAAGGAACAGTTAGTCTAACAGATCTTGGTTCATAATCTTTTATGTTCTAGAGCTATTTTCCCAAGGAGTATGTTTTATTTGGTCAAGAGATAGTGACCATTAAAGATAAAGGTAAATAAAAAACACCTTTCTAAAGATATATTTTAAAGTGTGACCTACAAAGAGACAAAAAGGATGTTCTTGTTAAAAGTAGAAATAGATAAACATATGTGACATTTGGCATCTTAACTCCTCTAGTTACCTTAAGAAGACAAAGAAAATTTTAATGTATTTCCTTGATAATTCTGATTGGCACTTATTTGGAGTTTTCATACTATACGTAGAAAAATGTTCTGGCCATCATAATATCTTGAGTTTACAAGTTTAAGTTTATGATTCTTTGTTTATAACAAAAATCAGTGCTATTTGGGTATAAATTTTGCTTTGTTTTTATCAGAAATACAACAATATTATAGTTTTCTAAAAAGATCATGTGGGAAAAATCTACATGTAGTCTGGAGAATAACTGGATTACTGTAGTTAAAAATTATTTTTCAAATAAAGTATAAAAATCAATTTTTGTCATATTTCACTTCATGGCTGCTATGTTATATAAGTCTACATCTGGACATGACATAATTATATTTCAAATTTCACAAATAATTTCAATTATTTTACTCAAAAATTTTGCTTTTCCTACAAAGAATCTCATTATAATCAAATATACAAGGAGTCTTCTAATAAATTATTTTAAAAGTAGGAAGTTAATCCTTTTCCCTCTAAATGGACCCAATTGTTCTAAATGTATAACCACAGAAAGAAGGGGTACTTTGCTACGGAACAGTATGAGACCTAGATTACATGTTTTGCTGGATATCACTTATTCATTTTCTTAGAGTGCTGTTCAGCTTAAAAACATGAAGTTGTCCAGATTGATGGCTTTTAAATCTCGATAATCTTGATAAAATTATTCAGTGAATTTCTAGGGGAGAAAAAAGTTGCAGGGACACAAGTATTTTTTGATCTAGCCATTTCTCAATGCTATAGTCATTTGCCTGCTTTTAGCACCCTCTGCAGGTAAACCAATATTATGCATGACTCATATGTTATTAAAAAGCAGTAAAACAGATTCTATGGAAAGATTACCATGAAGGTAATTAGTGAAGAAATAAAATAAACAAATACAGCGTTCCTACTCAAGCTAAGCAAATATGTACTGCTTACTAGTTAACTGTCTAATTTACTGAAAAATAGAATGTGCACATTTATATGCAATTCAATAAAACTGATTCTGTGATCATACTACTGATAGAGTTAAACTAAAATATAAGACAAAGATTACAACTTAAAGACCATAGTAGGAATATTCAAACTACCAACTAATTAAAGATGAGATGAAGCTGAGAACTCACCATCCCTGTTGGAGAGCAGACAGACCAGGCCGTTGAGGCAGGTGTCGGCGACTTCTGAGATGTTGGCCGCACATCTGCCTATTGTCTGAATAGTGGCTGCTGCAAACTGTTTATCCTGACTTTTCACATAGGTCTGAAAAAATATTATTTCATTTATTTCACAAACTGGTACTACCAAGGAACCAAATGAAAAACAAAACAAAAAACCCAAAACTATTTTATTAAGCTTCGTCGATACATATAATTCCAAAAAACAATCTCATAAGCACAACAGGAGGCCCAACAGATGATTTCATTTAGTTTTGCTTTTGTTATATCTGTGCCTGTAGAAGAGGCACATTTTCAAGCCAGGCTCATTCATCTGTGGCCACAGTGGCTTGAGACTCCAAAACAGAGAGTGGGGAACAGTCACCCAAAGAGAGCAATTAGTTTAAGGGCAAGGTTGAAAGAGATGATGAGAACTCTCTTTGGAGGTTTCAGTTCATTTCACCATCAGCATCTGTGAATCTATGGGAGAAAAGGGTCACTTTTTTAGAGACACTAAATCTAAAAATTAGGAGAAAAGGAAAAAAATGAACCAATGTGCTATTAGCAAATAGTTTACTTTCAAAACGGCATCAGAATGATTGTAAAACTACATTAATTAGAGTGAGTACTACTGCAATAAAGACTATAGTTAAAAATAAAATAAGACACCACAGTTTTGAAATACTTTCATTAAAAGTGTGCTTTAAAAATATAACGTAAATGATGTGTTTGTAAAAACTTAATGATTCTGGGCCGGGGATTTAGCTCAGTGGTTCCGCTGCCTGCCTCACAAGTGCAAAGACCCCAGTTCAATCCCCAGCACCAAAAAGACTCCAAAAAACTTAATGATTTAAAAAGTTAAAAAGATTGTCACAAAATCTGTAACTGTAGCAATTTCAAGTTTAAACTTTCCTACTTTAAAAATGAAGCATTTATTATTTACAAAAATGAATATAACTTTATTATGCATATTTATATGTAAATGAGATTTTTAAGAAAGATTCCCAACCACAAATGAGAGGTACACAATAAGCTCTATGATTATCAAAATGTAAAAAAAGGTAATAAAATAGTAACTAAATGACAAATGGTAGAAGAAAATCTAGGGATATCTAAAAATAGTGAAAATGGTACCAAGAAGGTGATTAAATGTCAAAAAATAAATTAAGCTCTGATAGTTCCACAGAGGTAAGAACAATTTTATTTAAAATTACTCCCAGACTACCTTAATTAAAAATGTATTTGAATCTTTAGAACAATTCTTTATTTTAGGGTCAAATTTAAAATATATCAATCCCCTTTGTTAAGAATTTTTTTTGAAAAAAAAAAATACAGCATGAAGGTAATCAGTTAAGAAAATACAAATCATGCATATACCATAACATTCTACTACTCCTGAAAAAAGTATAAGATCACAAGTTTAAAAGTAAATATATTGGCCGGGGATTTAGCTCAGTGGTTCCACGACCTGCCTTGCAAGCGCAAGGTCCCAAGTTCAATCCCTGGTAACCCCCCCCCCCAAAAAAAGTAAATATATTGTCTATACAGCTAAAAAGAAATTTAATATGGGCTTACTGAATGATTATAGCAATGAAATAAATTAAATTTATAAATTATAAATTGCTAACTGTGATTAGTATAGAGCACATGGTATTTTTTTTTGAGAAAACTGCTGATGGGATGTAAAGCTCCATAATACGTCCAGACACAGGTTCTCTTGCTGTGGTCCACTACTAAAGTTTCAGAGTTGACCCTTTCATCATAAAGAGTGTAAAGACCATGATATAATTTTTCAATAATACTTTGTGGAGAAACACACCTAAGAATCCCCTCATCCACTGGCACATAAGGTTTTGAAAACCAAAAAGAGAAAACCAAATAAAAACTAAAACAATTTTTAAAAATCATGGTGAATCAATTAAAAAAACAAACTTCCTTAAAGCCCTACATGACCTAAGGATGCAGCACCTAAAACAGTAGAAGACCAAGCAGACAGGGACAATCAGGCAAGGAATGAGCACCTAGGATGGAAAGGGTGACCAATGAGGACAACACAAGGAGACAGAATTGGTACCACAAACATTTTGAAAAATGTCAGTTATAAACTAGTCTTTCACATTTTATGAAAATATAAAATAAAATACAATTTTTAAAGTATATATGTGTATTTAATGTTTATACTTAAAAATGTATAAATTTCTTAGTTGTCCATTTTGCTAAAAATCACTTTTATTTACACAATAACGTATTTCTACATTAAGACATATATTTAACTTAAGAATAAATACATTTTAGAAGTTATTTATAATTAGCATTGTATACAAACCTGAAATTCTCGAAGAAGAGTTGATATGTTGGCTTCATTTGCTAAGTTTGTCAAAATTTCAAGCTATGGTAGAAAAATTTTTTAAAAGTTAATATTGTAAAATGTACAAAAAACAAATTTAATACAGGCTAGGTACCTAATTAAAAGTTTTTAAATCATATTATCACACATGTGGTAAGGTATTATACCCTTCTGGTAAACACTGACTATCTCCTTTTGTCTAAAAATAGAAACTTGATAATTACACATCTTTCAAAATATTAATTAAGAAGAGAATCTTAAATCTTCACTAATTATCCTAACATTACTATTTCTAATTAACCTAAAGAAGTTAAGCTAGTTTGACTTTATTTTTAATTATTAAAACAACTGCCCCTCCATGTAATTGTTTTCCACATATCAAATTAACTCTCTTGATTTGTTCTCCTACATTCTATCATTTCAAATACTTGAGATATTTTAACATCCTTTTCGGTGTTCATACATATGACACATACAAAGTGTATCTCCAATTGGTTTGCTAAACATACTTGTCTTTACTCACACAAAATATTTAAACTGAAGCCACAGTAGAAGGAAAAAAAAGAATAGAGAACAGACAAGATAAACAGAAAACAAAACAGGTATATACATAAATATGTTTATATCAAGAATTAAGTTAAAAGTAAATGACCTAGCCAGGGATTTAACTCAGTGGCACCGCGCCTGCCTCGCAAGTGCAAGGTCCTAAGTTTGATCTCCACTACAGAAAAAAAAATTTTAAAAAAAGGTAAATGACCTAGACACTCCAATTAAAAGGCACAGATTGTGGAAGTGTTTTAAATATTCTGTGTACAAGTCATTTATTCAGATAAATGTACTTGGACTACACTGAGATTATCTTCTCCCAGATTAAAGTCTGGCTTTTTATTTTATTTTGATGAAAATATTTTAACTGTTTTGGACAACTTTTCAAAAATAATATCATGGGCTGGGGGGGTGGGAGTGGCACATGCCTGTAATCCCAGCACTCAGGAGGCTGAGCCAGGAGCATCGCTGTGAGTTCAAGGCCAGCTTGGACTACATAGTGAGTTCAACCCCAGGCTGAACTGCCTAGTGAGACCCTGTCTCAAATAAAAATAAAAATAACATCAAACGTACAAAAAAGCCCCATGTACAGTACAAAGAATTATTTTCTTTCTGAACCATTTGAGATGAGAATTGGTAATCTGCTGCCACATTATCCCCAAATACTTTAATGTATACTTCCTGTAAACAGGACAGGTACTGCATACCACAACAGAACCTAGAAAAATCAGGAAATTAACACTAACCTGACACTTCCATGCAATTGTCATGATGCATTTAAGTTTCACTAACTGTACTGATAATGTATAATTAAAGGATCCAACTCAATATCTCATATAGTTCTTAGCTGTCTCCTTTAGTCTGAAAGATTTAAGTCTTTCCTTTGACTTTAGTGACCTTGAAACTTTTCATAATTACAAACCAATTTTTTTGTAATACATCTTTCAATTTATGTGCGTCTTAGATTTTCTTATGATTAACTGTTTACATGTGCATAATACATTTTCACAATTCTTCATGAACAATTCATGACCCATTGTCTTGTAATATCTCAATATGGTACACTATATACAGAAAAATTTTCACATGTCTGGGTATGTTTCTCAGCTACCTTTCCCACTCCACTTTTCTGTCTAAGCATCATGCTATTTTAATCATTACAGGTTCATATTCTTAACTGTGTTCTATACTATAGGTAACTCTCTAAGAACACTCTTTCATAGTCTCTTAGGATACTAAAACTACTTTTTATCTCCTCTCAACTCTTAAACTTCACAATCAACCTACAATCAACAACAAAAAGTATTCACAAAAACCCACCCATAAATCGTATTTCTCAAATCTTCCAGAGAATTATCCTTGCCTTTCAAATGACCACAGCACTCAATTCAAATCTCTGAATGACTTAAAACACACAGCACTAAAATCATCTACCTACATGCTTGTCTCCTTCAGTATGGTGTGAATTATTCAAGGTGTAGGGAACATGTCTTAACAGTATATTTTCTGAATATAGCACAATAACTAGCATGTAGTAACACAGATGGGAAGATATAAAGAAAAACCCTTAAATGTATTTAAATCCTTAAATGTTCTGTGAAAGCAGGACTCCATTCTGTAGAGGCTAGAAGCTACAGCATTATCTCTCAAAGTATATAGATGTTAGAGTATCTGAAAAATGAAAGCATACATACCTTCAATGTCTTGATCATAGTTGGATCAGTTGACCTAACATAGAAACTCTTCAGATAAGGTTCAAATATGCCCTAGACAATAAAAAGAGATATGTAATTATATTTATGGTACATTAATTTGCTTTTTAAATTATGTAATCACAATGTACATACCTTTCTTTGAATTGACATAGTTGCTATATTTTGTAGGACAATATACTGCACCTCCCTAGAAATTAAAAGAGAAATTTCACTAGTGTTACGTTTTAAATTGAGAATGACCCCAAAGTCCTCAAGCACTCATAAGTGGAACTTTTCAAAGGTGACCGAATTATGGGATGACTTGTTGTAGGGATGTGGGGCCTGGTAGGGGGAGGCAGGTCACTGAGGTCTGGTCTGGAAGGGCATTCCTCTCTCCTCAGCTTCTCCCTCTCCCTCTCTGCTCCCTGGCCTCTGTGATACAAGGCACTTTCCTCTGCCCAGGCCCTTCTACCATGTACTTCCTGCACTGGAGCTGAACTGAATACATGAGCCAAAATAAATCTCTCCTACTTTAAGCTACAGGTACCAGGTATTCTTTTCCAGTGATGAGAAAGTGACTAAGACAACAGGGCATATTTTTTGAGGCAATATCTTTGAGTAAACAATACAGTAATGAAAAAGAATGAGCAAACAGCTTCATAGTGAATGAAACTGATAAATATAATATTGAAAGTTTTTACTAAATCTTAGATATTTATACCTTCTTTTTAGTGCATTTTTCCTGTAAGGTAATAAATTAGGTGTGATTCATCATGAGGAAGAGTTAAAACCAATTTTGTGACTGAGGCTGGTGGACTGCCAAGTTCAAGCACTACCTACAGAAATTAGGAGACCCTGACTGAAAATGAAAAATTAAAAGGACTAGGGATATAACTCTGTGAAGGCTTTGGGTGAAATCTGCAGTACCACAAACAAATAACTCCCTACTCAATTTTGTAATACTGCATTTCTAAAATAAAAAGTCAATACCACAGCTATTTTAAACACATATAAGGAAAGTATTCTTCAGGTCATTGGAGGTAAACCCAACAATAATGATAATATAAGTCAGACTAAAAAGCTCATTCTTTCACTCAACTTGGCCCAGGCTGAAGGCTAGGTTAAAAGAGTCGTCATGTTTTTAAGTTCAAATACCTAACAAACTGAATTGGATATTCAGCTTCACATAAAAGACCTAGTCCACATCTTTCTGATGTCCTCTGCATTAGCTAAAGAGAAGCAAAATTATTAAGTAGATTAAACAAGAAAATGGCTAGGTATAAAGAGAACAGAAATGCAAAAAAATGGCATACTTGCTACTTAGGAATGTCAAAAAACAGTCAAGGGCTAAAGTTGTGGATTGAAGCTTAGTTAAGAACAAAAATAGAGGCCAGGGATTTAGCTCAGTGGTTCCACTGCCTGCCTCACAAGCACAAGGTTCCAAGTTCAATCCCTAGTACCAAAAAAAAAAAAGGAACAAAAATAAATGTATATCTTTTCTTCTGAACTCAGTCAGTGTATACATACACTCAATGAAAGAAAAAAATTAATTAAAAATAACTAATTATTATAAAACAAGCAGGGTATGTAGCAGACACCTTAGTCCAGTATTAGCAGGCTATAGTGGCACGAGCTTCTTGCCCCTCTATAATTCAATTGTGTTACATTGGAAGTAGCAGAGCTTGGCTGAGTTCACTCCCAGACAAGGTCAACTGACTCCAGCTAAATTCTTCCTTTCTGAATTAACCATTTGTTCTCTTCTGCAAAGATATGCTTGTGTCCTCATTCTACAGTCCTGCCTGCTTGCTACTTATTACCAACAGGTGTCCCGAGGCCGGCTGGCCCAGTTTCCCCCTTTCCCACACTTGTAATGAATAAAAACTGAATGTCCTGGGAGTCCTTGGTCTTTGCTGCCCAGAGCAGCTTAGATCAGCCCAAGATTCAGTTTCTCTCAAGTCTCTGTCTCTGTGTTTCTTTTAATTCCCACTTTTCTATCTTGTGGACATTGTACTGGTTTGCAGGCAGCCAGGACCACTCTAGGGGTCTCTGGCAACTCCCGTAACCCTTTCCCTATAAGGGTATATCAAATAGCTAAAGCAAAGGTACTCTCAAATACAGAAAACAACACATACAACAAAAATATGAATGTAGGAGGGCAGTAATGGGGTTGTGAGTATGCTGGACAAGTGCTCTACCACTCAGCTATAGCCCAGCCCCCAAACTGCTCTTAAACAAGCCAAAGTGTTATGGTCTTGGTCTAAAATGTGCTCCAAAGTCTCCCATGTTGAAGCCCATGGTTCCCAATACAGCAAGGTGGGGCTTTGAGGGAGTGAATGGTTCATGACAGCACTCAATGGATTAATCCACTGATGGGTTCATAATGTGATGTATACTCAGAGGTGATGAACATTCAGGAGATAGGTCCTAAACCAAGAGGTGGGTCACTGGGGCATTCTTTTAAGGTCATATTTTGTCCCTAGACTCTTCTCATACTCTGGTTCCTGGCTGCCCTGAGGTGCACAGCTTTACCTTGCCACATACCCACTGCTAAAATGTTCTGTCTCACCAAAGGCCCACAGCAACAGGGCCAGTCAACTATGCACTGAAACTTCTGGAACCTTCAGCCAAAATTAACCCTTCCTCCTTTAAGATGATTTTCTCAGGCATTTTGTTATAGCAACAAAAAACTGACTAATACAGACAGGAACTCAACAAAAGTATTTCAAATTGTTGAGCTGAACCACTAACTTATAAGGATTTAAAATCAAAAGTGGCATGCTCTAGCTATAAGAAATTAAAAAGTATGTAATTGTTTAAAATGAGTAGCTGCTAAAAAAGTTCTTTTTTTTAAATAGAGCAAACTAAATGTTCCAACTTAATAAGAAGTAGTGATTCTGCCATAAACTACATGACTTACTCTATGTATTGTTCTACAGAACAACAGAATCATATATAATAATCTATATGGTATATTATATATTATATATATAATATATAATATATATAATGTATAATATACAGAATCTACAGAATCATATATAATACATTGAGTAAGCCAATCTCACAGTACTTCAGTAGGGTTTTTCAGGGACTCCAGATTTCTTAAAGCTCCAAAGCACCATTGTTGCCTACTAGAACACTAGCAGGCTACTGATGACAGTATATACACATGCCACAAACTATTCTTACTCTCTTTGGGCTTGAAGTTTAAAACTTCCACATTTATTATTGAGGTAAATTTTATGAAAGCTTTTATTATGATGATCTGTGAAATTATTCGATTTTGTTCATAAAACATAATCAAAGCTATGCATTAAACGTCTAAAAGATTATATTTCTTCAAACATTACTTCTAAAAGAATACAAAAGAAAAAATCATGTAAAATCATGGCCAGTGACCTACCTGTTGCTACGAAGTAAGCGCACAAGTGATTTAGAAATAATGCCAGTTTCTGATTTTGGGGATATGTGCCAATACAGCTGAGCAACTGCCATAACCACCTACAAAATAAAGCATGAAAATAACAGGAATTCTAAATAAGGCACTGCAGTTTCAAATACATTCTCACTGTTTCCTTTAAACTCCTACTCCCTGTGAAATATGTAAAATTTTTAGCAAATTAAAGAAGTTTAATCTGTCACCCCAAAATTCTTGTTTATCCTCAAAAAGTGATCTTATTTGGAAGCAGGGTTAAGGAGATGTTATTAAGGTAATGACTGAGTTGTGATCATGACACATTAGAATGGGCTCTAAATCCACTGTGAGTGCTCTTATAAAAGTCAGGCAAAGATGAAGGCAGTGACTGGAAACATGAATGTATGAGCCAAGACATTCCAAGGACTGACAGCAACTGCCCAGGGGCTGCACAAGAGGCAGTTTCTCCCTCAGAATCTCCACAAGGAACAACTTCATTTATACCTTGATTTTGAACTTCAGGTTTCCTAAAATGTAAGAGAATAAAACCTCTGTTGTTTTAATCCAGTTAGTTTGTGGCAATTACTATACCACTGCCAGGAAACTAACACATCCCCAGAAAAAATAGCAGATGTGAAATGTTTAAAGTATGACAGTCAGCACAGAGCAAATCTCACCATGACACTCCAAATCCCACACTCCTCCTACTACTGCTGCTGAAGTACAGAATAGGGAAAAACTTTGTCAGCTACTCCTCAGACAGAGGACTAATGTCTAGACTATATAAAGAACTCAAAAAATGAAATGAAAACTCAATCAAAAAATGAGCAAGTGAAATGAATAGACACTTCTCAGAAGAATAGATAAAAAAGGTTCATCATCTCTGGCCATTACAAAAAAACCACATTACACTTCCATCTCACTCCAGAAAAATTGGGTATCATCAACAAATCAAATAGTAACAAATGCTAGCCAAGCTGCGGGGAAAGGGAACCCTTCTACATTGTTGGTGGGAGTGTAAACTGGTACAACCACTATGGAAATTAGTATGGTGGTTTCTAAAATTAAAATTAGGAATTCCATTTGACCCAATTACTACCCTTCTAGGTATTTTCCCAAAGAACTGAAAGATATCTTATTACAGTGATAACAGACATGCTCATGTTTATAGCAGCACAATTTCTAACAGCCAAATCTTGGAAGCGGCCTATAACCCCTCAATAGATAAATGGATAAAGAAAATGTGGTGTTTATACACAATGGAATACTACTTTGCCATAAAAATATACTTGAGTCATTTGTAGGAAAATGAATGCACCTTGAGACCATAATGTTAAGTGAAATAAACTAGACACACAAACTTAAATATCACATGGTTTCTCTTATATGAGAAAGCTCTCCAAAAACTAAATAAATAAAGAGCAAAATAAAAGACAGATACTAAGTAGGGAGCTAGATCTCTCATGTGGGAAGGTGATGAAGGGGGAGGGGTTAAAAAGAAGAATAAAGATGTATCATGTACCAACTCCCCATTGTGTATTGGAAATAAGTACTAATCAAAATTCAAAACTGAAAAACAAAGTACCAAAATATATCCAGAGAGGACTTCTAGGAAAATGGTGAAGTGGTAAACAACAGAGAAATAGCCTTTCCAAGATTTCATGTCCAAACATGAGGAAGAAAAGAAAGAAGTGGCTTCTCAGTACACAGCAAGGATCTAAAGCAAGAATTAAAGCCCATGGGAAGAGCCAGGAGAGAGACAAAGAAGCGGGGAGGGGGGCAGCAAATGGCACTCTCTCCCTGAGCCCTAATTCACTGCATGGGAAGGGTGGATCAAACCTGCAAATACACAGGGACTACTGGCAACCCCAGAAGCCTCCAAGGAGAAATGCACCAGTGGAACAGAGCAGTGAATGCAGCATACTGCAGTAGCTGGTGAGTTATTCTGCTTCAGATGTCCCCCAGGAGAAGGTGAATGGCTGGTAGCCATCTTGCAGTGGGGCAAACTGAGCAGGTGTGGGCTGGCTCCATTAGGGTGAGACAGAACAAAGTTGAAATTGGCAGGAAGTCAAGGGGCCAAGTTCAAGCCAGCAGGAGACACACGGAGTGTTGCAAGCTGAACAAATCAGGTTCCAGCCTTACAGCCAGAAACAAGCTTGAGCTTCAGAACAAAAGGAGCAGGCTTGCTGGGATTATCCACTATCCCACTGTAAATCTACAGCTGGCTCATTGGGATTAATCAACACAGATCTGGGCTCTGTGTGCCCAATTTGGCTACCAGTGACAGTAGAGATATGCCTTGAAGTGGATTTTTTTCCCTTTCTTTTTATTGGATTGTTTGCTCTTGTATTTATATAAGTGTGAACATTGTTTCTAGTTTTTTGTTGTGGTCAAAGTTATTTTGTTCTATTGCTCTTTTTAAGTCTTTCTTCTCTTCTTCCCTCCTGTCTTCATCACCAGTTTCCCAAAGTTTGTATAATCTTCCTTTGTCCTCCAGCCTTGCTTCTAATCTCTTCCTCTTCTTCTATTTCTCTATTTTTTCCTCCAACCCCTTTTAAATTTTCTCCCCTGAGGATAAAATCACCACATGAGGCCATATTTATTGTATACAATTTTCTGGTTTGTTTTAGATTTTGTTATATAACCACAAAGCTAGTTCATATGGTTAAAGGTTGCAAATTAATACTTACCACAATTTTCTAGGCTGTATTTGATGCTACCATTAATGCTGACTGTACTACATTAGTCAAAATGGCAATTTTTCTAATTAGTTGCTCTTCCTGGTATGCCAAGACTGAGACTGCCTGAAGGTCATAAACAATACCATAGGCATTGCCAAAGAACCAAGGGCTAGGCCAAATAGGCAGCAACTTCTCATCCTCAATAAATTGAAGAAGTAGGATCCTGCAACAAACTCAAACCCCAAAACTTACTGCACCTGGAAGATATCTCTGAAAACTACTCATTTCCCAAGGGTTCCAAATACTAGCAATAAAGCTATTTGCGATACATAATTTACAAGCATCAACACAGGAAACAAGTTAAATTTAGAAAATAGAAAACGAGAAGACACTTAAGCAGGATATAACCCCAAACTTTTGCTCTCCAAAGGCAGACCCAGAGAGAGCAATGAGGTGGAACAATCTGAAACCCACCCACCTGGACTCTCTGAAGTGGTAACAGCATAAGTAACAAAACAGATAAATAAGGGTCTAGAAAAAATCAAATCAGAAATAGTTTCTCAGATAACTACAAAGATGGTGACTATAATAAAAGACATGGTTAATGACTCTAGAGCAGATATAGATAAAAAAAATAGAGGAGCTTAAGAAAATGATGGAATCTATGAATACCCAACATAGGAAAGAACTGCATTCCATAGATTTAAACAGATATCCAGAAGATTAAAAATTTCATTGAAAGGATATGCAGAAGAATGACCCAATGTGAGGACAGGATATCAGATATAAAACATAGGACTTCAGTTAGGGACTATGAAAAGAAAGACCTCTTAAAAATACCAAGGGACCATGAAAAATCAATCCAACATCTGCTAGATGATATAAAGAAGAATAACATAAGATTGATCCAGTCAATGAAAAAGCCCTGAGGAGATAGCACAAACAACATAAAAAACCTGTTCACAGAAGTAATGGCAGAAAACTTCCTAAGCATGGAGAAAGAATTTGACATACAGATAAGTGAGGCATACAGAACTCCAATTAGCCATAATTAAAAAAAAATCTATACCAAGGCATTTAATAGAGACAGAAGTTCAGCACAAAAACATAATATTGAAAGCTGTTAAAGAAAAGAAACAAATCACTTATAAAGGAAAGCCCAACAGAATCACAGCAGACTTCTCAATATAAACCCTCAAGTCAAGGACAGCTGCTAATTCAAGCTCTAACAAAATACAACCTCCAACCCGGACTGATTTACCCCACTAAACTATCTTTCAAAATTGATGGAGAAATAAGATGCTTCCACAACAAAGAACACCTGAAGAAATTCATGACCACCAAACCAGCACTCCAAAATGTTCTGAAGGACATTCTAAAAGGAGATAACAAGGAGTACAACTCCATGAACCCCAACAGAATGAATCCACAAGGCAAAGCAAACAATTACACAGAGTGGGTGAAAAAGGAACCAACAACAAGAAAATGACAAGGATAAGTTAATACATATCAGTTATAATCATCAATGTAAATCGTCTCAATTCACAAATCAAAAGAAACAGGTAGAATGTATCAAAAAAAATACAACAATATGCTGCATATGAGAAACATGTGATTCAAAAAGAAATTCATAGACTGAAAATCAATGATGGAAACAATATTCCATGTGTCAGGAACCTGAGAAAAGCAGGGGTAGCTATTCTATTTGCAGACAAAGTGGACTTCAAGCCAAGATTGATTAAGAGAGACAAAAAAGGTCACTACATCCTTGTAAAGGGAACAATCCAAGAGGAAGAGATAACAATCATATATGCATCAAATACCAGCGCACACAACTATATAAAACAAACATTAACAAACATGAAAAATCAAGTAAGCATTTATATTAATGTATTGGTTGACATCAATACCCAACTGTCACATATAGACAGATCAACTAGATGTAAAATCAACACAGAAATATCAGAACTGAACCAAACTTTTTAACAAATGGACTTAGCAATGTCTACAGAGTATTCCATTCCACAACATCAGAACACACCTTCTTCTCAGCTGCATATAAGATGGGTCTTCAAAACACACCACATACTAGCTCACAGCACATGCTTAAATAAATAAAAAGAAATAGAAATTATTCCATGTATATTATCAGACCATAGTGCAATGAAATTGTAAATCAATGGCAAAAGAAACCAGAACTTCATAAACACATGGAAATTAAATAACACCATACTGAACAACCAATGAGTCACAGATGAAATTAAAGAAGAAATTAGTTTCTACAATTAAACGATAATGTCAACACAACAAACCAGAAATTATGGGATGCAATGCAAGCAGTCCTACAAGGGAAATTTATAGCAGTGAATTCCCAAACCAGAAAAACAGAGCATGCTCAAGTAAACAACCTAATGTTGAACCTCAAGCTTCTAGAAAAGAAGAGTAAGTCAAGCCCAAAGTTTGTATAAGGAAGGAATTATAAAGATCAGAGCAGAAATTAATGCAATGGAGACAAAGAAAACAATACAAAGAATCAATGAATCAAAGAGCTGGTTCTTTGAATTTTTAAATGAAATAGACAAACCCTTAGGTAAACTTATCAAAAGAAAGAAAGAAAAGACTCAAATTCATTCAATTAGGAATGAAAATGGTGAAATTACAACAGATCCTGCAGAAATCCTGAAGATCATCAATATCTACTTCAACAACCTGTAGTGGAAATCCAGAAGAAATGGACAGACTCCGGAATACACATGAATTAGCAAAGCTGAACCAAGAAGATATAAAAATTCTAAATAATCCAATGTCAATCAATGAAATTAAAGATGTAATTTAAGAAGTACTAATGAAGAAAAGCCCATGCTCTGACGGATTCATTGCTGAATTATACAAGAAATTGAGAGAAGACCTAGTGCCGCTACTTCTCAAACTCTTTAATGAAAATGAAAGGGAAGCAATACTCCTAAATTTATTTTTGGACACAAGCATTACCTTAATACCAAAACAACACAAGGATCCAACCAATGAAAGAATTATAGGCTAATCTCCCAATAAACACAGATGCAAAAATCCTCAATAAGATACTGGCAATCAGAATTCAGCAAATCATCAAGGAGGTTATACACCATGACCAAGTAGGATTCATCTCAAGGATGCAGGGATGGTTCAACATATGCAAATCAATAAATGCAATACACCACATTAACAGAGCCAATGACAAAAACTATACGATCATCTAAATAGATACAGCATTTGACAAAGTCCAACACTCATTCATGATAAAAAAAAAACTACAGAAAATTGGAATGGATGGTTTTTATCTCAATTTGATAAAAACCATCTCTGACAAACCAACAGCCAATATCATACTAAATGGACAAAAACTGAAAGGTCTCACTCTTAAAATTAGGAACAAGGCAAGAAATGTCCACTGTCACCACTTATTCAATATAGTTCTGAATTCATTAGCCAGAACAATCAGATAAGAGAAAGAAATAAAAGGAATAAAGATAGGAAGGGAACAAGTTAAATTATCATTATTTGAGGATGACATGATACTCTACATAGAAGACCCCCCCAAAATCTCCACTAAAAGATCTCTATATTTGATAACTAAATTCAGAAGTGTAGCTGGATACAAAATGAACACTCAGAAATCAATAGCATTCCTGTACAAAAATAACAAACTCACTGAGACAGAAATTAGGGAAACAATACCTTTCACAATAGCATCAGAAAAAAAAAAAGAAAAATACCTAGGAATCAATCTAACAAAGGAAGTAAAAGACCTTTACATTAAAAACTACAATACTCTAAAAAGGAAATTGAAGAGGATGTCAGAAAATGAAAAGATATCCCTTGCTTTTGGGTAGGAAGAACCAATACACTGAAAATGGCTATATTTCCAAAATTGTTATACAAATTTAATGTAATCACAATCAAAATACCAATAGCATATCTCATAGAATTCGAGAAAACGATCCTAAAATTCATTGGGAACCAGAAGAGACCTAAAATTGCAAAAGCAATTCTGGGAAACAAGGGCAAGGCAATCTCCAACTTGAAATTATACTACAAAGTGATAAAAACTGCATGGTACTGGCAAAGAAATAGACCCGAGGATCAGTGGAACAGATTAGAAGATGCAAAAAAAACTCCAAATACACTTAGCCACTTTATCTTCGACAGAGAAGTCAAATATCTTCGCTGGAAGAATGCTTCTTTAATAAATGGTGCTAAACAAACTGGTTTTACATTTGCTGAAGAGTAAACCTAGACCCATATCTTTCACCATGCATTAAACTAAAATCAAAATGGATCAAAGATCTAAATATTGAAACAGAAATACTAAATCTACTGGAAGATAGAATAGGTAGAACTCTTGAAGACAATGGTGTAGGCAAAGACTTTATGAACAAAACATCAGTCACACAGGAACTATCACAAAGAATCAACAACTGGGATCTGACCTTAAAAAGCTTTTGCACAGCGAAGAGAAACCACCAACAGAGTGAAGAGACAATTCAGCGTGTAAAAAACTTTTGCCACTTTTTCCTTAAAGGACTAATATCTAGAATATATAAAGAACTCAAAAACATCAGATCTCCCAAATTTGAAGACCCAATCCAAAAATAGGCATCTCTGAAATGAACAGACATTTCTCAGATGAAGAAGCAGAAACAGCAAATAAATACATGAAAAAATGTTCAACATCACTGGTCATTAGAGAATGCAAATTAAAACAACACTGAGATTCCATTTCACTCCAGAAAGAATGGCTGTTATCAAGAAATCAACCAATAACAAATGCTGGCAGGGCTGTGGGGAAAAAGAACACGTCTCCATTGTTGGCGGGAGTATAGACTGATGCAACCACTGTGGAAATCACTGTGGAGATTACTCAAAAAACTAAAACTAGAGGTTCCATTAGATCCAGCTATTCCCCTTCTTGGTATCTTCCTGAAAGAACTAAAACCATCAGACCACAGTGAAATATGCACCCACATGTTTATAGCAGTACAGTTTATTAGCTAAATCTTGGAGGCAGCCCAAATGCCCAACAGCTGATGAATGGATAAAGAAGATGTAGTTTTTTTATACAGTGGAGTACTACTCTGACATAAAGAAGGATAAGCTTAAGATATTCATACCTAAAGATAAGAACTTTGAGAGTATACTCTTAAGTCAGATAAACTGGACACACACAGTTAAGTACCACATTGTTTCTCTGCTGTGAGAAACCGAAAGTATAAATAAGGACCAAAATGTGTAATATATTGAGAAAGAGGAAGAAAATGTTCAAATGAGAAGAGAAATGGGGGGGGGGGAGAAGAAGGAAAATATACCAAGAAAAAGTAAACTTCCTCTATTTGGTACAAAAATCAAATAAGCAGGAAACCCAAAAGTGCAAACTATATTTGTTTCATCATTTAAGAACATCAGTCTTTGAAATGTAAAGTCAATTTCCAAGACAAACTGAAACTTTTATATATATATAATAGTGACTCAATAATAAAGAGTTTTAGGTGGTAAATTATAGCTGCCTAGCTAAGCTGGAGCACATTAAAACATAAACAAATTTTATAACATTAGTGAAATATTGTTATGACTGGGCATGGTTACAGAATAATAATTTGGAAACTATATTATTACATGTAAGATAAAAATTTCTGGTAAGTACTAAGATATACAAAACTCTAAGTTCTAAATCCTCAAGAATCAAAAACCTAAATTTTTCGATCCCCGGTACCAAAGAAAAAATAAAAACAAACAAACAAAAAAAACACTAAATTTTTAAGAAAATGCTTAACATAATCTGCCAAGCCTAGATGTAACTGCCAGTAAATATGAAATACAGGGTACAAAAGAATAAATTAATTGACTATAAAAGAAACAATCAGCCAAATTCAGAAAAACTTCAGAGACTTTCAAACATATGACATTCACATATAACACATTAGGTACTGGCTTTGATAAAATATCTGAAAAGGATAACTGAAGATAAACTGATATGAACTGAAATGAAATTTTATTAAAATAGAAAGGTGAGGAAGATTGACTAGAAACAATGCGAGTTAAAAAGTACTGTGTACAATATTACTTTTATCTTGGTTTAAAAAATATAAAGCCAGGCATGGTAGCACATGCCTGTAATCCCAGCACTTAGGAGGCTGAGGCAAGAGGATTGACACAAGTTCGAGGCCAGTGTTGGCTATACAGTGAGTTCAAGGCCAGCCTGAACTACATAGTGAGACCTTTTCTCTAAACAAGTAAATCAGTTAATTAATTTATATATATGAATATACATACATTTAGGCAGACAAAAAAGATCTAGAAAAAAGGTACTAACATATTAAAACTGATTTCATAGCAATAAGGATGTAATTTTTTTTCATTTTTCTAGTCTGTATTGTCTAATTTTCTGCATATTTACTCTAAAACACAAAAGGTTAAAGTAAAAAGACATCAAAAAAACTTAGGACCCAGGATGGGGATTTAGCTCAGTGGTTCCACTGCCTGCCTCGCAAGAGCAAGGTCCTGAGTTTGATCCCCAGGACCAAAAAAAAAAAAAACCACCAAAACTTAGGACCCAAATAAAGATGATTTTTAATTACTATCAATTTAACCTTACTTATAAGGCATTATTTTTGTTATATTTTAGTCTTCTAAAAGTTCTAGCAGTAGACAGAAATACTACCACCAGATCTAGTAAAACTCAACCCTGACAGGGTAACAAATACACATGGTTCTTCCATAGGCAAAGACAATCCAGTCAATTTAGAAACAATTTGAGTGTATGTCTTCGGAAAAGCCTATAACAAAACCACAAAAATGTAAATGAAGTCCACTAGGCCAACAAATACCAAACCAGGTATTCAAATCAAAGTCTAATTTTGCATACCTGGGAACACTGAAAGCTGAAATACATTTAGGCATTACCTCCCTGAGAAATTAATTCTCTCCATCTCTACCTTTTATTCCACACTATATTTCCAACTATCCATCATGGGTGTTTGGTATGCAAAGAACTAAATGTTCCACTGTCACATTCAGATCTTACTGAATTTACATACATTTAATCACTGCTCTTTAAAAACCTGTACATTATTTCTCATAAAGGCTTTCACATACCGCTGCATTCCTGCTCTGAAGCAAAGGTTTTGTGTTTCTAATTAAGAGTCTGTGGTCTGGATCCATGGCGTACGGCTTCTTCCTTCTGTCAGTCTTTTCCTTCTGTTCATCATCAGATTCATAGAAACTTTTTTCATTGTCCTCTAGGCCACCATCCTGAAAGGAAAAAAATCCAATACCAACAGTAGTTCAGACCTTGAACAGTTCAAATACTATAGTCAAAGAAAACGTTGTTTAAAAAATGTGCAATAACATTTTACTTGGGACAATTTAAAAATACTATACAACCTACATGAGATAAAGACTTTGATTTTTCTCATGTTATAACACAGTAACCACCATTTCATGCTATAGATGCTTCTACTACGTTATATAACAAATCACTAGGTGCTGTGGATTTAGCTCAGTGGCACCACACCTGGTTCACAAGCTCAAGGTCCTGAGTTCAATCCCCAGTACAGGAAAAGAAAAAGTGAAGTGATACATAACAAATCACTGACTATTAAATCCCTAGAGGGGCCAGGGAGTAGCTCAGCAGTGTAGTGCCTACTTAGCAAGCACATGTGGCCCTGAGTTCGATTTCCAATACAAAAAAAAAAATCCCTATAGAAATACCCACAGTTGTACAAAGAGAATTAGATTCCAAAAAGACCTATGAGAATGGCAACCTGAAAACTCCTTCCATAATTGTCAGTCACTCTGTAACTAGATCAAAGAGGAAAAATTGGAGCTTCATTAAAAAGAATCATAATAAAGCCTGATAGGTAAAAAGTAGTGATTAAGTCAGTCCTTAAATTGCCAGGAAAAGTCTCAGTTTGGGACATATAAATACCCATAGGAATTGATTCTAAGTTTTTGTTCTGAATTTGTTATTATCTTTGCCAACAGGCATTAATTTAGCCTCAAAATATACCAGAAAAAACACACACAGTATACTACCTATGTATAATCTGGCAGGCATGTCAAACTGGCAGTCTCCCTTTCTGTCCCTCTTTTTTAAAATGTTTTAATCAAAATTTTTAAAAAAGGAAGTTTTGTTGCCTATATACATTAACTAATTATATATTTTGTATGTGGCCAGAGATAATTCCTCTTCACTCCAAAAAAAAAAAAAAAAAAACGTGGTTCATAGGCTAGACACTCCTCTGGAGGTAGTTTTTGTTAGCAAGAATCTGAAAGACAGCAGTTTCCTTCCTCATACTTGTTTTCTGCAGCTTCAATTATCAAAGGTCATCAGAGGCTCAAAAACATGAAAAGAAAATTCCAGAAATAAATAATTTATAATTTTTAAATTGTGCATCATTCCTATTAGCACAATGAAACCGTGCGCCATCCAGCTCCGCCTGACCCAGTCCAGCACATCCACTACCACCCATAGGTCACAGTCACATAGGGACCATCCCAATTATCAGACTATCACAGTTCTGCACACTGCCTGTGTTCAAGGAACCTTTATTTTACTTCATCATAGCCCCAAATTACAAGAGTAGTGATACTGGCAATTCAGATACAACAAACCGAATTCATAAAGTGTTTCTGTTGAGTGAAAAGGCCGAAGTTCTTAACTGAGTAAGTAGAGAAAATAATTTTATGCTGAGTGCCAAGAACTAGTTAAATTATTGTTAATCTCCAATTACCCTAATTTATAATTAAACTCTACCATGTATGTGGTCCATGTAAGAAAGAGCATGTTGGTGTTTCAGTGCTATCTTCAGTTTCAGCATACACAGGGTCCTGAAACACATCCCCTTGGGATAATGAGAAATTGCTATACATCATGGATAAGCTAAACAAAAGAATGAGTCATATCCTAGGCAGGACAGAGGAGAATAAGTGATTTCATCACATTACATGGAATAAACCACAATTTAGAACTTCAGAATTATTTCTGGAATTTTCCATTTTCTATTTTCAGACTACAGTTAACATTCAGTCACTGAAATGTCAAAAAATGAAATCATGGATGAGGGGTGACTACTGTATTCTTTGATTCTAGGAAGGTGGGGTAGAAGTGCTTTTCCACTTCCCCCATGTACAACTAGAAATAACAACTAACACAAGCGTCTCAACAGCAAAGAAAAGAAAGAAGTCTTGACAGGGTTCTCAGGACCACTGAATGATACAACAGGGAGTTCCCTGGCTTTTCTGTTTTTGCTTCATATATCCAAATGCTGCAGAAACTGGCAGCAAACACAGATTACCCTACCCCACCTGCCCACCAAACCTACACTCTATAGCCAAAGGACTAACAAAGGACAGTCTAGCACAGTAAACCTAGAAATAATTACTCTAGTATAGCCAACATGAGAGAAAAGCACTTCAGCCCCACCCCAGCCCCACCAGGAAAGGCTGAGATGGGGATCCCAGACCTCTACCCTTTCTAGAATGTAATAACTGTCATAAAAAGCTAGCATGGGACCAGGATTCTTATCCCTTTTGGAAAAATAACAAGGAATCCTTATAGTGTCTAGTGGAGACCAACTAGGGAGCTTGGATTTTCAAGCCCACCGTCAACAAGGTGACCTTACCCCTTCCCATGGTGATGGCATCAGAGGATACCCAGGGACACTTAAGACTTATAACACCACACTGAGTGGAAACCTCTCCACCACCACGATAGTGTCCAAGGAGTACACATGCGATACAGTAATGAGGAACTTCTCTCTCTCCAGCAAAAGGGCTATCAGAAAAGGACTTAGTGGGGAGCCAAAAATTCCCTGCGGTAACAAATAGCACAATCCCCTGAGATGTTAGTGGAAGCCTAGTGGTGAATGTGGACTTCTACCATGACCTGGCAGTAATGAAATGGCCACACACACACACACACACACACACACACACACACAGAATGCTTGCTGGAGTAGTGTCAAAGCCATAAAGAAAGATAAACTTAGGCCATTTGTAGGAAAATGGATGCATCTTGAGACCATAATGTTGAGTAAGATAAACCAGACACACAAGCTTAAATATTACTTGGTTTCTCTGCTTTGAGAAACTCATATAAGTGAAGGGCAAAATAAAAGACAGCTAATAGGAAGGAGAAAGATCTTTCTTAAGTGGGAAAGGGATCAAAAGATGGAGGGAGCAGAGAGGAAGGGTGGGAAAGGATGAAAAAAGAAATCTAGATGTGTTATGTACAGGCACTAACTTCACACAGGAATTTACATTAAATACTGCAATCATATACCAAAAAAGAAGAGGACCAAGAGATGTGTGGAGGAGGGAAGGGAAGGGATAGGAAATGAAAAGAAGGAACTGATATGTTACATACATGTACCAATTTCCCAGAAGGAATGTAAATATTATGTACTACACATGTATTAATAAAATTTTTTAGAAGATGTGTTATGTACAAGTACCAACACCACACAAAGAATGGTAGCATTATGTACTGCAAAGATAAAAAAGGAAAAGAAAAAAATGAAAGTTCTGGAGATAGAGGTTGGTAATGGTTGCATAACAGTGTGAATGTACTCAATTCCACTAAACTATGCTGTTAAAAATGGTCCCAATAGTAAATTTTATGTATATTTTACCACACACACATAAAGCCAGCACTTCTAGTGGAAAAAAAAAGACTAGATATGAACCTAAATTACTGTACAAAAAAAGTTTAAGTAAATAAAATTATAAAGAAAAAGATCATCACTTAAAAGTAATTTGTATGTATTTATGGACTGTTATAACAATAAAGGGAATAATTTTAAATGGTTTAGATTAGTATCATTTAATAAAGTATTTTTTCCTTGCTAAATTCTTACAGATAATGCATGATCTTTACTTAAATCTTGATACAAGTATCCCCGGAAAAAGACTTTTCAAGTGTAATTTTTGGGTGTCTTACAAGTAAGAATAATAACTCCTAAGTGTTTTTTAAACTCACAATAGAAAAATCTTAAGAAATTATCCAAACAGAGAAACTCACAAAATTTAGACTCCAAAAAGAAAAGATATTAAAATAACCACCATCAAAATTAAACTAGAAATTATATTATCTTCCTGTGAATACAAAATTCAAAATAAATAAATTACTTTCCCTGTACTAATTAAAACAGACTGTAGTTTAGATACACTTTTATGTAAAACAAGACTTGATTATTTCTTTATGGAGCTCCAAGCCCAAGTAGTTCTACATCAGTAAATCAAAAAAGGCTGCATAATCAAGCGCATATGCACTCTATTCTTATAATCTAACCACACACCTAATATCTTAAAGGCCACATCAAATCAAACAAATGTTCAAATTCTACCCAAAAGTGATGTATGATGAAAACACTATGTTAATAAGCACAGCACTACATCTAGCAAATAAAATCTCACGTGTTCATAAAAGCTACTTTTAATAAGCATTTACTCATTCCACTTCTTCTTGTTAATTAATATATTCTATTAGAGTTCAATTTTACCACACAAATGTTTAGGATTATGTTAGGAATTTTAGTAAAAAAATTTCAATGACTAATTTTCTTTCATTAGTATCTTTCTCATACAAGAGTGAAAGATCTTATATAACTACTAAGAAAATTTCTACAAATTCAAATTTAACTTTATATAAATTACAATTTCCTAAAATAAAAAGATAATTTGACATGACATTTAAAATCTTAGTAATCAGATTGTGAGATAACAAAACTGAAGAATATGTTGTTTATTGCTAAAACTGTTGATATCTATTATTCACTAAGGACCAAGTCCCTCAGAAAATATTCTATCAAGACTTTAAGAAATTTCAATTTGGTCCTATTGGCACAAGAACAAGATGGCATAAGTTTTTAGATCTGGCTTTCCCAGTTATTAGCTATATGTATGTACCTACAGCATATGCTGAGATCAAATGGGGAAAAATATAACTGATAAGTAATTGGTTGCTATTTTTATGAGGCTAATGAAGTGAATAATGTTTCCATAAAGGTCAGGAACCAATTCGCAATAACATACTTGAATCTGCATTACTATGGACTATTTTTTCTCAAGTTTTTAACCACTCAGAACACACATTAACTCAAACAGTATGGATGCTAGATATATACCAGGACACACTGGTTCAATATCAAGGCTGGCTCTGTAACCTTGCACATTACTCTACTTTGCCTTGTTGTGACTTACTTTCTGCAAAAGAGAAGAAAAGCAGTGTCTAAATCATAATGAAAAATACT